GTTCATCCGTATTTCTCGTAGTTCTCTCACTAGATTTTTGTAAAATCAACGGTTAATGCCTCTTTTCGACTTAAGTTTGAACTACATACAGAGAGACAGAGTCGAGTCTTTTGATCCTTTACTTTACTTGATGGTTTGTTTTGTGTTTTTTTATTCCCCCGTTCTTACCCTGGGAATTAAATCAACGAGGTAAGACCTCGTTTGCGATTTTGCCATTATCGGGATGGGAATTTTTTTTTGAAAGAATGCAGCTGGGCGCAAAAACTAAGCTGTGGCATAAAGGGCAGAATGTTAAGACGCAAAACGTCTATCTTGTCGTATTGAATTTACATTTACCGGTACAATACTCATTTACATTTGTTTAAGATTCTACTGGCGACATTGCCGGGCCCTGGATAAAGAAAGTTATCTCCCCATGGATACGTGCTGTCATTCGATGATATTCAAAGAAGCGTGCATGGCAAATAGTAGGATGACATAATTTTCCATGCCATGACTCTTGTAAACTGAACATTTGTCGTCCACAGTGGAAAATCACGTCCCAATAACTTGTTTGAAAAGGACAGGGTAGTGTGTTATTGAAAATGGTTTGTTGTTAGGGTAACCTGTCTTATTTTCAAGAATTTTGCACGGGAAAGACTGACAAGGATGAAGAGAATAGTCCTATAGAGGTGACAAAGTGCTATTGCTAAATCCTTCGCAGTTATTGTTTTCTGCGCCTGTGCTTGTTCGCAAAAGGTGAGCAAAGCTGACAGAAACTCTAAAGTACAACCTTACAAAAGGAAACAGTGTGGCATTGTGTTTTTGTACTTGATAAAAAATAGGAGGGACACTGAACAAATAACATCTTTCGCATTTTCAAAATTAAAGTTTGTTTTTCCATGAAGCTTACTCACAAAAATTGACACCTTTTCGTTAAGCGTTATGTTGTAATTTCATCCTGGATACCAATTTATAAAAAGGGGGAATGTTGTAGATTACATTTCCTTTTCCTTTGTAAATATTTTATCATCGTAATAAAACTGTGAAAGGAAAAAGTCATTGATTAAGGTTACTTTGCGGTCGCTAATGTCTTCCAATTGCCACGCAACAAAAAGCTCTTAAACATGCTGGTTAACAGCTTTCAAGTCTTTTTAAACATTTGTCCATGTTAGCATTTTTGATATTCTGTTTGAATGTTCACAGAAAAAAGTGGATTGTCAGAGGTTACTTCGAAAAAACTTGCCCTATTATTTTTTGAGCCCTTAAACTCCCAGAAGTGATAAACATGTAACTTCTCCCTGTAGTATCCGTACATTATTATATTTTCTTGATTAAACACCAAATCCTCATAAACAATTTACAAGGAAATGTGTAGCTGCTAGAGGGGAGAATTAACAATTAGATCTTGGGAGTTAAAAAGGGTTGATAGCGTTTTAATGCTGCATTCGATCATGATGTAAATCGATTTTGTTGAAAAAAATTCTCTCTTTATTTAAAAAAACTGTAAATGTGAATAATTTACGTTATTCAAGCCTTATCGCCACAAATGTGAATTTAATGTTCATTGTACGAGTTAAACTTCGTCCTTTGTTTGAAGCAAACAAATCTCACGGTAACTCGTCTGCCTCTTTAACTACTCTAGCTCAAATACATTTTACGCCATCAGCCATTATTTCATTCAATGTTCTGAATATTTTCTTTAAATTAACGTTGTTCGTGTAAAAGTGGGTGTCGCCTTGACAAATACGGGATTTCTATTTTAAATCGCTGGTTAAACGCACGCAAATCCTCGTATGACGAGAAACTCTTGTAAGTGAATTTTGGACCGTCTTGCTAAATTTTTTTTAAGCTTTTGTCGTGGAATTTAAAAAGAAATCTTACACTGCAGATTGTCCCATGAAAAGTAAATGAAAAGCGTTATCTTTTTTACATGGTTTGGAGGAGTTTTCATTGGAACTTTAGTACCTTCGCGCCAGGCTAAATTTGCTGTTGTATAAAAGTTATCGGAAAATGATAGAAAAGACTGTTTAAACCGTAGAAAATATAGATACCGTAAAAGGGAAATGAATAAAATAAAATATCGATTATGGTGAACAAATACGGTGTATTTATTGAGAAGCTATGTTGTGGATATATTGTGGTATTGTGGTGGGTACAAGACAGAAACGCAGGCTTTCATGACTTCCTACTTGATCTCACAAATTGTGTTTTATGTTTATCAGGTTAACTGCTGACACAAGGAAAGAACACTGAATATAAATAATTATAAATCACGAAGTGAAGTTTAGTCAACCGTCTGACTTAGCAGTGCTGGAACTGATTTAACGAATGCTGTTAAAAATATGAAACAAGCGGCTTTTCCCTTTTTCTGCACTGATTGATTTCCAATGCGTGTATATGTTTGGTTAGAAAATACAATCACTAAAACCATTTATCTAATTTTACCACGTATTGGAAATTCCCTGATTTTTTTTTAAAGCACTTCGCACAGTCTGCGCTGTAAAAGTTATAGGTTTTCCGTACCCTCTCTTACAATCAAAATGGATTTATGTAAATTTTTCTACTGTTTCTTCAAATCTGCCGCTTTGTATCTTGTAGGGTAAATTTATCGCGACCGATTGGTGTTGAAGAGGATTTAGGCAAACAGGATACAATCTGAAAATCTGTTTACCAAGACGGCCATGGTAAAAGAAAATGCGATAAAGAACAATCTTTTATTGAAGGAAGGTTTAATAAATGTAAATATGGACAAAAACCGCTGAACGGGTGCGTAAAGAAAGGAAAGTAAAATCAGCGCACAATGTTACGTTATTTCTGTGTTTTTTACCTATAAAGCCTGTAACAGGCGCCGCCAGAAAACTATTCATATAGTTTAATGTCACATTGTCTGCAGGAATTTTGTATGTGTAGCAGTAAAGTAAATACCCAGAGAGAATTAATCGAATTCGACGAGAAAAATTCGTGTTTAGTCTTACCGCATTCTTATTATTTATTTTGTACACCGGCACTAAATTATTATTGTTTCAGGCGCCGCTCATGTGGGTTCCGCTCCTTTGACAAAGATCTTGAAAGCACTTTCGAAAACAAGCTGAAAGAATTTACAACTCTTGCCTTTCTTTTCATAAATTATGACATCATTATTTTTGTAGAAGTCTCAGGCACATGTGCCTGGCTATCATGTAACCATGTAACCGCTCTAACTGCGTCAATAAAGGGAATGCACTGAGCAAACTAACCGACTGTCTTAATAAAAAACAAAAAAGCATTAAACGTTTAACGCGAATAAACAAATGACCAAGACAGCTAAATGTGTGTTTTTCTTTCATTTTCTTCGGGTTTAATTTTTGTTATTGGCCTGGAAGGCCGGTTCCGCCGCGGTTGAGTTCGTGGACCGCATGTGTGTATTAGCTCTTCGCTTATCACTTCGGAACATTTGTTTGTTTGCGGGAATGGCGAAAAAGGATACTCGGATTACAGATATGATCATGTGGCTTTCTTAGGCTTCCGCTATTACCACTCAATTGAATACACAAAACCTGACTGGTTAAAAGCATCGTGTTACCGTAGCCCTAAAATCCAGACCTTAAGTCTCCTCTTAATATATTTTGTCGTTAGAAAACCAGCGAATATTCTAGTGACCCAGTTCTCGGTGAAACACCCACTCGTACTCTCCCGTCGCAAATGCAGCTTTCTTCTGTATGGAATTTTATCTGCGTGGGCAAAGCGGAAAGCGTAACTACTCCCTCTGAGCTTCAAAGTTCATTTTGCTCTTTAAATCAATCTCTCTTTATTATCTGCCTTATTTTTGAAGCTGGTCTTCAGTGTGTTTTTCTTCAACGTTGTAAAAACATGTCACCAGGCGATCACACAGGTTCCAACTGTGTAAGCATCAATCGAATCGATGCTTTTAATTCTTTTCACTCCATTTTGCGTGCTTCAAACCTTAAAATAGTAGCTGCTGTTAACATGTGTTTTGACATGTGCTTGCTTGATAAATGCTATTCAAAGCGTACAATGCTTCTTTTGTGCTTTAATTGCTTTATTTAAAGAGATGCGAGCGCCAAACAAAAGCCCGAGATACATGTGAATTACGGTGCTTTTGTGTGAAAATGGACGAGATAAATAAATACACTTCGGGAAAACGGCGTAAGATAAAGGAGTGTTGTGGTTTGAACCTCCTGGGGGACTGAACTGCATTTTTACTGGCCTAGCGCCCAGCTTCTGTCGTCGCCGATGATTATGACGCTTGATAAAGCGAGCTCTTGGACGAGCCCCCACGCCCAAGTCACGAAACATAGCTCAGCGCACGGGACAGACGGGTGTAATATAGTTTTACAACGCGCGTGCTAATCATTTGAAAAGTTTCCCTCTTCTCCTCTAGTGTCAGCCTTTTGTTCAGACAATAAAACAATTACTTTTTTTTGTTTCGAGCTACTTTCATTTCTTCTGCTCTTGTTTCGGCTATAAAGAAAGGGCGAAAGGTTGAACGATTTGCCTCTCAGCGGCGCCACTAGCGCGAGAACTCTGCGCTGGATCCTGAGACCTTGGACCCTGATTGAAATCATAACGCGTAAGCACGAGAAACCCAATCTTTTTATTGCCCAAATTTCCTTCTTAAGCACCGCTCATTGTGATTTATTGTAAAAATAACAATGATGGAACATCCTTAACGCAGCGAATCAAGTTGTATTTACGAAGTCAAACTTACAGTAACCTCTCAATATGTAAGCTAATCGGTGTGCATTTGGCTAGAAGTCTGCATGTAGCCCCTAAAAATAAGTCACTCTCCTTTTGAACGAACAAATCTCTTAACGTTTTAGACGATCGACGCTGAGTGAACTCAGCGTACTTGAATATATTGTGGGTTCTCTTAAATGGTTTTCAATTTCCTCAAAGTGATATGGCGTTATTTGAGAAGATGTCCGCATGTAAAACGAGAAACCACTGAATATATTTAACGGAAAATAATAAAACTTATCGCATGAAAGGTCGCGTTGGCTAAGCTAATGCACTACACGTCATGTTATTCTGGGGATTTTTATTTCCACTGCAAATTAAGGTGTACAGCGAAGTCGTCTGACATTTAACAAGGACGCCACAGTTGCTTTCAACCAACTGGTCGCTCGTGAAAGAATACTGTACAAGATTAATATATGGAATAACACAAGGTGATAGTACTTTAAACATGACTGCAAGAAAACATTTGCTTTATACACATAATTCTTTTGAAGATACATGACCTTTTTTATTGGTACGCAATACCGACGTTTTGGTTTTAAGCGTGATACGCATGCAAGGTTATAAGCTTGCGTCGGTGTTTACCTTGTACACAACTTCGCGTATGAATGAAGCTATTATTTAACAGTTCATTGTGCCCCAAGTACGAGGCAGCTATTGTCGAATTTCCCAATGGTTTAGCTTTAGTTTCTAATTATAATATAACTACGCTTTTATAAGCTATGCTAAATATCTTATTAAACTGAAAAAAAATTCTCTAAGCTGTGGCATTTGGAAAGATTTTCCCGTGCAAGAGAAGAAGACGGGTTCTTTTCCGTTCAAACGACGTAACCAGCTGCAGAAAGGCTTAAGTCTCATTGGCAATTCCTAAAGCGTGGTGCATTTAGAGTCCTACGAGAGAATTTGTTAACGTAGTTAGCATGTGGCTGTCGTGAAGTCCATGGGTGAATTCAGTCCCCGAAACGGGCGCCATAGGCTCATGCGACATTGCAGCCATTAGAGTAGGGTCATCCACTTCTAGTTTGACAGGAACAGGAGTGTGAGTGCCGGGTATATGTGATCCATTCATGCATTGGGAGAAGTCGGGTATACCACACTTTTTCACGTCATTCAGCATCGCCTGCTTCTCAGGGTTTAACATCTGCTTGGTTCTTATGTCCACCGTTGATTCCCTGTTTGAAATCGTGCAAAGGCAACCATTACGATGACAAACAAGCACGAACACTTATTAAATAAATGTGCGCTCTGTCATACTGTACACCGGTTTTTAAATTTTTTTTTAACTCGGTCTTTCTAAGCTTCTTTAATATCGCAAGTGATAAGAAGTCGTTGCAAGTATCGAGTCTCCCTGTCGATCAAAAATAGCGACTAATTGAGGGGAATGATATCGACCGAAAGCCTCTCATGCAACCCTAAGCACTGTGGAAAGTAGAGGCTGCCAACCATATCGCAAGTTGTCAATCGACTAGCGAGCAAGCTGGTTGTTTTAAATGTGTTATCAAAAGAGGAGGGCCAAATCAAATGAGAATTTTCTCGTATCCGATTCTCTTTGGCAAGATTGTAAATCAACGAGCGTGAACGCGGAAATCTCATTGCGTGGTGTTGTGGTCACTTTCCTTCGGCACACGCGGTTATGTATACATGTATGTTTGATGTATGATGAAAATGATCCTCCTTCTTGAAGAAAATTAAATTTGCATGAAATGAACAGCTAGTTACAGTTTAAGTCGCTTTATCAACTTCCGACCCTCGAGTAGCTCAATAAATTCTCTGATCAAGGCGAAATTGAAAGTTAAAAATATGATGTTTAACTTGCACGCAAGGGCGAGTTTATGCCCATATGGGCTGGCTAATTTAGTGTTGTATGACAAAATAAGCTATACAAAGTGACTGAGGTGAAGGTAAACGATCATGAGTACAAGCCATAAATAGATGGGCATCACACTAGCGAGACACAAACCTTATTTTGGCTTCCGCTGCCCTATCCCGCTGCCTTCTGTTCTTAAACCAGTTGCTTACTTGTGTAGTGGTTAGACCTGTTGCCTCAGCAAGCTCGCGCTTCTCTCGAGGCGATGGGTATGGGTTGTGCGAGTACCACTCTCGCAATATGTTCCTTGATTTTTCCTTGAAACAGTAACTAGTTTCCTCGCCGTCCCAGATTGTTCTCGGCAATGGAAATTTGCGTCGAACACGATATTTCCCCACGGCTCCTAACGGCCGACCGCGGAGTTTCTCTGCTTCGATGTAGTGCGCCTTTAACCAGAGCGACTGCAACTTGGGATGCGAACTTGGAGAAAACGTGTTGTTTTCCAGTATGCGATACAGCTCTTGGAAGTTTCCCTGATGGAAGGAAACCATTGCCTTTGCTTTTAGCACGCTCTCGTTCTTCTGGATGGTTTCGCATTCTGGGAGAGACCAAAGAAATCTTCCGAGACGTTCTATATCTCCGCTCTGCTGTAGTACTTCGCACACGCACGCTACCTGCTCCGGTGTAAAACTAAATGTTGGCAGCATACTTTGTTGTTTGGAGGGTGTTACTCTGCCGGTTACAGTTTATCCTTTCACTTCTTTGTATTGTCTATTTGTCTGAACTTAAGACGGTACTCGCTCTTTATAGCTGGTTGGAATCAAATTGCACACAGTTAAAAAGCCAATGTCACCCACTAACCATCAGACTAATTTTCATTCACTGGCGTGACAATGTCATTATTAAATTAAGATTAGAACTTGAACCCTGAGTCGTGATTGGCCAACTCTCGCCATCCAGATGGTTTATATTTTTTCAGTAGATTTTTAATCAAACACCATAGAAACAATGTCAATCGCTTTCTTTGCGTCTTCAAAAATTGCCACTTCCGCTGGAACATGGGTCCTTGAGAAGAAAGGCTTACCGACAAGCTTTAAACGCAATTACATTCGTCCTCGCTTTTTGGATTGTTATTTATCTTAAAAACTACATACGGTGGCGAGCCTGACAAATTTGAACTCTACAGCTTATCTGCCATGAATTGTTATGTTTGTAACCCTATAGTTGGATCGTATTTCTTACCCGAGACTATTTGTTATGGCAACTTTTAGAAAGGTAGACGTAAGGGAGTAGAACTAGATTGTTTACATCGCGCTATTACTCAAAAGATGCTAATTTAGAAGGCTAATAATGTTATGAGAGACGGGCACGAACAAAGGTAGTGTTTATTGATTTTGCAAATTTGTCGTTGTCGAAATGACAGCCAAACCAATCAACGAAATACGTGTTAAACAATGGCTTGTCTTCTTCTGCTAATCCAGGTGTTATCCAGATTGTTGTTTCGTCTTTGCGTTTTGAAAAAAAAAGAGAAATAAAGAGCAGATCCAATTTTTGTTAGAGCGATTTCCTATTTGTTCCCCGTTTACCTTTTCCTTCGCCCTAAGACCACAGGCGAACCACGACCAAGGAATGGTTGCGAAAATTTAAGGTTTTGATACTACTTTTACTCTTATTTTGTCCTAGAAGCCGAATAAAAGACCGTTTATCCAGAACTAACAAGAATTAATCGGAAAAAGGAAACTACAACTTTGATTTCTTAAAATCTTGGCTATGTATTTGTATTTCTATCTTGAGAATCTAAAATTATCTACTCAATTCTAAACGGTGAACTATCTCTCAAAATTTACCACAACATACATTTTCCAAATATAATTAGCAACATGTTTAATAATGCTTTAAAAGATGTAAGGTTTTGTCATGTATAGCTCGTAGACTTTCCTTAATTACAAACGTGACATTCTCGGAAAAAGTTCACCCGCATTTTAGTCGGAAGCTCAAAATTACCGGAGATCATTTTTTGTCCTTCAATTTGCATGAGGTTTTGCGTGGTGTTCGAATTTAACCGGCAAATCGCGACGAATACATCGGCAATCCAGGGTAGTGTTTATAACTTGGCGCGCTCCACTACAGTGTTAATCTCATCACTTAATTTTTTGTTGAAGATCAGATAGGCTTGTTAAAGCAATTTAGCAAAGATGCCTTTTCGGTCGTGAAGAGAGTTCTCAAAGGCGAATCGTTTTATTTATCAGGAGGATTACATGCGAAAATGAAGTTATGCGAAAGTACACAACTTATCTGTTTAATTCAACTTGCACATTTTCCTTGTCTTGAGAAAGCCATAAAACTGTGTAATTTGAGACGTTTTATTCTTACTCGCTAAGTGTGCCTTTCCATTAGAGAGAGAAAACGAAATGAATAATTTATGAAATGTTTGACAGGCCATTAGGAGCAGGTTGCAATGACAGTCCAAGCGTGTGCTACCAGGCTTTCCCTCTTCATTTTGAATTTTTTTTTGGTTTCATGCCGTTGAAATTGTATCAACTCATAGGATGTTTTGAAATTTTATATTTAACTCGTGGGTAATGGAATTTCAAAATTTCCTCTTCGTGTCTATTTTTATGCTTCAATTCTTAAACATTTTCCATCAAAATTCAGGACGGTGTCATACTGGAGCTTTGTTCTCCACATGGGAAGTACAAACAGTTGATTTTAAGTTCTGTGTTTACAAGATCGCTATCATAATACGATTATTTTCGACTAAACATCGGGCTTGAAAAAAATTAAAACCACTGGCAGAAATGTTTAAATGGTGACAGCGCTTTTTCCCAGCCCACCCACAACATTGACTCATCTGTTTCTCCACAAACGAAATAGAATGCTTCCAATTCTAATTAAAAATGCTTGAAAGTTCTTGTTTTTATCTAGGTGTTTTCTTTATTAAAAATGTTACTTCACTTCACGCATACGTTGTAAATTGTTATCACTTCTAGTATCTCTGTTTGAAATCTCTGCTCCTAAAAGGTACCCTTGAGGTCATCTCCTCAAAGTTCCCAAAGGAAATTCGTCGATAATATTTTTCTTCCTGCAGGATGTGTATCGATATTAGATAAGGACCTGAGGTATTACGTCAAACGAATTATATTTTTTACTACAGTGTCTTGCTTCAATACTTTTGGGTTAAAGATTTCGCCAAGATTTTCTGACTGAAGTCCCTTCCATCGAAGCGAAGTGGGAATCCACACCATTCGTCGCGTGCGGGAAACGTGTCAGCTTATTTTGGACCCGCTTTCGTCGATATTATGGCTTAACGCTAATTATTACTTGCGATAAAACTATTATTTTATTTCCTGGTTTCAGACAGGCTTAGCGTTGGCTTATTGTCTTGTCCGACGTTTAACGTAAAGGAGAATTCTCATCTTACACCCACTGCAAGAAGGTGAAACAATGTCCCCGTTGTGTCGTTTGATATATATAGATATATCTCTCTTTTTTTGCCCTGATAAACCGGATGTTTGATCTGAAAAGCGTCAGGTTTAAGTTTTAGAATAAGTTTTACTGTTTTGTCGTTCTTCCGCGGTTTTAGTTTTGGGACTGTAAAACAAAATATTTTCTCCTTTCGGGGACAAGTGTGATCCAATCGATTGAAGTATGCAACAGTTGCAGAATAGTGGTTTATAAATCCCGTTCTTAATTATACATGAACACTTGTGTTTAGAGGCCACGAAAATTCGATCATTTCCTATTTTCTAGCGAGGACATAGATTTTATATGATTTATACTTCTGTAAAACGGTCCCTGCGTGTCGAGTCTGAGCATGATAAAACAGTGGGAAGATGTTTTGATTTCATAGTGGAATAAAACAAAGTAGACGCGAAAGCCTAGCACGGCTCTTCCGAATGACGGGTGGCCAATTTTTCTTTGCAGGTGAAACTTAATTAACGTTCAAGACACTGAATGGGATGCGATATCACGACTAGATGTCCTTTTGTCAGCCTCTTAACTGTGAAAATGGAGCTATGCAGTCTCTAAGGAGCTGTAATAATTTTAGGAAAGGGTTATTGTTTCGCACGGCTGTACAGTCTTATATCGGAACTCCAATTTCCCTTCCTATCCAGAATATTATCCTTCGGAACTATTTTAGGTTAACGCACTGCTGTGTACTCTAAGAGGGAAAAGGTTTACAATGAAAAAAAATTTAAATATCGATATAGAAACGGTCCAACACAGGTCAAAATTATTTTATGACACGTTTCATTTCGATGGCCTCACGCTAAGATTGCATTAATTCTGAAAGACAGTGATGTCGCGAGATTGGTTCTTTAATTAAAAGTTACTGTTTTCAGAAAGTTATATCGAAGAATTTTTATCTTTTCTCTTGAAAGAAGGGTGCTCATTCTGAGTTGAATTATGGTTGTTGATATTGTAAAGTCTCTCAGTGCATTTTGGTCGTTGTGGTGACAACTTCACCTCAACTTTCAACCGAAGCAGGGTTGTACGCTCGTTTTTTAAATTTGAGGATTTGCAAGGTTAAAAGAGCGCGCTATGCAGGAAGGATTTTCTTTACATCGAGTTCTAACCGTAATCGTTTCAATGATTTCAGAAGGACCGAGATGGTGTATCAATCATGGTACTGGAAAGAATGAGAGGAAATGAATGGATTATTCCAAGAAATTTTCAAGGATTAAATTATAAAGTTTTCGGCCAACGGTGTCCAAAGAGATAGCGTTAGAGCCATGGAGCTTAAGGAAAACAATACTAGCACCTGTCCCAGCATCATAGAGTGCCCGACGTATAGAAATATTTCAATTTACTGCTAATACAACATAAAACGACATTCTGTTATAGATGATGATAATTGAATTTCGTAATACCATGTCCTTAGTCTGCGCTTGAAAAGTTTCTCTTTTAATCACAGGTGAAAACCTGCTCTTTTTTTTTTTTTTTTTTTTTGAAACAACACTTCGTTTGTCAGCTTTTACACCTGGGAACATAGTCTTAATGCGATGTTATTTGATCAATCGCGCCACGAAGTCCCATCTTTTTCCAGTGTCCTAATAGAATAGTGGCAAAACAACTTTGTGTGAGGAAGGATGAAGGACAAACTGTGGGTCGATTCGGAAGTGAAATCCAACCTCTTTATCGACTTTGAAGTTTCTTTAACGACCCTCGTATCTTTTTTCTTTGTCAATCGATTTAGAATATCTGATATCCAAATTAGCCGATATTGAAAATTTGAGAGCTCACTCCCATTTGAATCGATTTTCAAGTCAGAAATAGGCAAAATGCAGGTCTGTCCGAATGTCCAAAATTTAGGTTTAAGGAAAATTACCGCTTGCTTTGTCTCCTAAGTTGTTCTTATTCAAAACAACAAAACAAGAAAGTTAATCTCTGCAGCCCTCATCAGACGCGCTCTTTAAAAATGATATTCCTCGCTAACGAATAACAACAATTAGTTGCAACATGAGCGATACCTTCCGATGATATTTGAATAACCGCGCCACTTTATTAAGTGCCTTCCCTGGTCGTGTCGATCGACACGACAAGGAGTGTATATCGAGTTAATGGTTTTCTTCTAAAGCGCATACAATTCAGTTTCAAAATTGTCTTTTAATTAAACGATATCGCCACCATATATTTACTCGTTCTATTTCAACTTTAGCGGTACGTATCAAAGGATGTCTTAATATACTTCGGGCTAGAACAATATGTAAGTTGTAACCATTCGACACTGATTCTTATTGCAGCAATCATACACATTTACTTATTTCCAAAAATCAAACGCGTTTCAAGTGGTTCGAGATATTCTTCGTTTAGTCAGAGGATAAACCAGGAGTAATATCAAACTCTAAAAATATGGAAGGAAGAGATATTTCCTCTATGGCTCTCACAACACACATGTTAAACTTGGATATTTATTTTACGATTTGGTTACACCAGATGGTTTGCCAAGCCGCCCTCATGTCTGTCAATGTAGCCTTCGTAATTTCCCAGTTGTGATATATCGATATAGGGTTACCTTGATATCAGCTCAGATGTTATCGCCCGTGTGGGCTGCGTTGGCAATATTGACATTTAGAGGTTTTACCCTAGGTAGAAGAGTTGCGTTACTGAATTTCGCAGATCACCACTAATAGATTTATTGCTAAGAGTTTGTTGCGTATTTTCCTTCACCTCTGGATGGCCCCGCCTTCAATTTCGCTGGTATCTTTCGATAAATCTCTCCACCGGGAAAATGTCAAGGATACAATTAGAGCCTAAATGTAAACCAGTCAGTGCTTTTGTCCACATTTGGTTTTATCCGCATTCATTTTCGCTGAAAACCATAATTTCACTCTCCTTTGTGTTCCTTGGCGTTGAAAACGTGCTTTTAACGCTGGGTATTAAGTTACATGAAAAAGGCCTCGTTTATCCTCTATTTTCTCTTTCGGTAGTCGGTTATTTTGTTGGATGGGAATAACATTCTTTTCTGGATTTCTTTTTTTTTCCAAGATTTAATTTAAAAGCGTGTTAACGTTTTCATAATCTTCTTCTGTTGTCTTTCTGTTCGCTAGTTGTTTATCCTATAATAAAATGCTTCCCGCTCAACAAGCTAACCCCACTGTTAATCCGTTTTCATTTTCTTTTTCTTTTTTGCCTTCTCTTAACCATGGATTACGATTTCATCTGGGCTCTTTTTTATTTACAAACCAAATGCCATCTTACAAATCTCAGAGAACAGTTTTGTTGCCTTCACAATGTAAACTACTTAACTTTCGAAGGACTATGTTAAAAGTGTGAAATTTCTCACATATCTTTCAACCAAAAGTAGTTTTAAGAGATTTGCCGTACTGGTGTTCATTAATCTAGTTCTAGGTTTATTTTTCGTCGTTCCTGATTAACATGCGGCTAAAATACACGGTAAATGGTTAGGGTCTTAGTTTTCCCGCACATGAAATGAGTGTAAAAAAGGATAACAGAGGTAATTGGTAAAGCCGTTTATCATAATATAAACTATCATTTATAAACTACTGAAAGAATTTGGTTGTTATGATTTTGATAGTTCGGAGTCTCCCTTCAAGAATGGATAAAAATTACCACTTTTTATTCCCTGGAAAGCTGTGATGAGATAATTCAACTCCTGCTAGTCTTATAGTTTTAACACTGTGTTTCCGAACAATTCCATGACAGTATTAAGCTGCAGTACTTTTAAATCGATTCAACATATGCAACAATTACAACTAATAGGCAAACAAGCTGGACATGTGTGTAGAAGCAAAATGTATTTTTGTTGTTGACTCAATACGAGAATGTACTCTCCCATTTGCCTTCCATATTTGCCGTTGAATGAGTTATTAAAGCCAAGGGTGTTTGAACCAACATTGTTACAGGGTCCTCGTCTGGCTTTCTTTGTTGAATTTAGGACCCGCGAGATAAACTTAAATTCTCTCGATTATTTTGCTTAAGATCAAATAATAAAAACTAGTTTTGATGTGAGTGTCGAATTTTTTTTTGTGGCAAATTTCATTTAGGCTCTTTTGGTAGGTTGGCGAAAAATTACCACCAGTTGTGAACCAAACAAGTACTTTGTACAAACTGACTACCGTGGTCGGGCGGCTACCGGCCTCTCGCAGAAAAGGTTCATTCCCATCCACATTAAAAATTTCCAATACATCCCTATTATCCAAAGACACAACCGCGCACACTTTGTAGATCTGAACTACGACAAGTGCCTTTGGTGATCGCCACAATCATTGTCTTGTAAACAAGATATTGAAAATGGGAAAGTGTGGGTGATGGTTTAAAAATTCATGCAATTTCCCGCGAGTTATTTACTCCAACTTTCATTTTCCCTTGATGGCACGATCAGTCGCTTGTCTCGCTTTGTGTTATAAGAATTCGAGTAAAGCAATTGGAACGAAGCTACATAACAAAACCATTATTTCTAATCATGTTTCAAGCGAAAACTAGAACATCTCTTAATAAGAGTAGCCCTTGTCGGGAACACCTTTACAAGTGCATGTTTACCCAATCCAATTTCGTTTTGCCTCCATTAAAATACAAATGTTGTTAAATCAAATCCTCGCTTACAAAGTTGTGTTCTTGCGGTTCGGGATAAGTTTTGAACTTGCGTGATACGTGAGACCGATTTGCCACGCGATATCGAATCATAATTAACTGGCTCCCAGCTAACGAAAAATCAACCGAGAGGAGTCAAACCGATAAAAAAAAAACCTCTTCTTAATTTTACATTGATGATAACAAGGCTTAAAGAATACTAAGTTCTTACCGTTTGCGATTTTTCCGTTTTGGCAACTGATATGGTCGATCGCCTGTAGCTTCTAGCTCTTCGTCCTGGTGGGGCGGCTGTACGAGTGCGTTAAGTCTCTTTGACACCTGACAGTAAAGAAACACCCTTCAATCAGCGTACTGGGTTTAAGGGATAACTCGTGGAATTAATTATGCCACGTATAAAGAAATATAAATACGAGGACATCTTTGAAACTTACAGAACCTAACCATGTGAAGAAAAAATTAAGAAAATGGAAGTATAGTGAACATTTCTGAAAGGTCATTTTTTTCTCTTAGAGTACAAATAATTTTCAACGAAAAGATCGCATTTCGAGTCATTCGTAAAACACTATCTGCTTTCATATCGGGTAGCTCGCACATTATAGGAAAACTGTGACCTAAAACGATCTGCCCCGTTCAACATTTGTTTTGGTTTCTTAGACAATTCGTAAAACAACACGACTATATTTTCAAGAAGCGTCAAAAATATCCTGAAGAGGAAATGAATCGCATAGGTGGTTTAATAATTGAGGTGAGAGGCGTGATTCTACCAAACATTCCATTTTGTAAGAGAGTTTTTATTCCTTGTCAAATCAGTTGCTTTTTTAAAGAAGTTAAAGAGTGTGTCTTCAGTTGTATTTCAAAACAAGAAGCAGGTTCGGAGGTTAAGCATAATTTAAAGGACATAATACCTAGCGCGAAAAGACACATTATGTGGGGTTATCAAATAGCTTTCTAGTGTTTCAAGCGGGACATTGTGTCTCCAATAAAGAAGAAAGTCTGTCAGCAAGCCTTTGCAATAAACGTTTGTGTCAGCTTATAAATGTCATACAAGCCCTGAAGGGAAATACCACAAAATTTGATACCTTGAAGGATCGAGATAAGCTGGCCTTTAGAGACACGATACTCATGTTTCTATGGTGGTCGATATTTTTAGATCTTGATTCGAAAAAAAGGCGCAGATACATATTAAACTGCCTTTCGAAAATTTACGTGCTTCTCTAGCAGACATGAATTCCTAGGAATGTCTTCGTGACGAACAGTTTGTAGATCACGTTCTAAGTTTGGGGGTAATCGGAGCACACGCTCCTATATGTTTGTTTATTTCTAAAGTTATGACACAGACCAGTGACATTGGTCCTCCTAACGTATCGAAAAAGAGTACAAATAAGGGTTTTCTCAGGTATCCCTAAAATATGGTAAGGTTTTCGGTATCACATCTGACAAATAAAAGCACTGTTGAGAATCGAAAGTCAAGTAATCAAATTTTGCCAGAGTTTCGAAGGGAATCGCAATGTAGTGGTCGTACATTCCTACGTGTTCCATGAAAAATTGTTATTTAAAATAGTGTAAAAGGAATCGCAAAATACCTCTAACTTACTGAAAGCTCTAGCACAGTTTGGTTTATCCTCTTCTTGTTATTGGCTTTTCATTACCTACCTCAAAGAACAAAGAGGTTCACAGTTTCCCGTGGTTCCTTAGTTCAATTGAACAGTTTTCTCGAGAGAGCGTAAATAAAATTAACACACGCATTGTTAAGACATTAAACAGGCATTTCGTGTTTGCAATGAATATTTAACAAGCTAAACGGATTACAAAGCCACTTTTTGAAGTGAAAAACAATTTCCCAGGTATTTTAGACACCTCTTTAGCGTCCCTCTTTTTCATATGACACGAGATGTTTTAAACCGTTGAGCCACACAGCAGCCTGCTATACCTAGCAACAAGTATTTAAGAGTTGTCAGAATTGTGAAAAGGGTCGCGAGTAGGCTTTGACCCTGAACTGTCTGGATCCTGATCGGGAACGAAAGTAAGAGATAGTCAAACGCCGGAATTTCGAAAACTCTTCACTGAATTATATTTCAACATAAGATTTCGAAACGTTTCACCAAGATACACCATATAAACAGCTGTAAAACTTGGGTATAATTGAGAGATTTGCATGCTGGCAAGAACTCAGCAGCTCGCAATGTAGTGAACATAAACATGACATCCGCTCTAGCATAAACTCTAAAATCTATGTGTTTGTAACTAGATTATTAGCTTTGCATGAAGTCATATTTTCTGCCCAACAACTTGTACTCAACGTTTATACATAAGTCTTTCAAATAATAAAATTAGCGACTCTAAGCATTGTGAGACGAAGGAGAATAGACTCGCTCGATTGGCGATAATAGGTACCGCGCGGAGAACTTGGCTTGGAGGACATACCCAAGCAAATGAAGATCTAATTGTTTTATAGAAATCGAAAAACATGTGACTCTAAAATCTCTTAAAAATTGCTCTGTTCCTAAGCAGAGCTTGCAGTGCAGATATGGATCTATAGCATGTCTTCATCCTAGTTTTTCCTCTCCAGTTGTGACATTTTTCTAATCCGTCGTGTCAACAGATCCATTGACAACAAATATAATTTTGCAGCCTTAACTGGCATCTAGCTAGAACTGAGGCCTCAGAAACAAACAATTTCTTCCGTAGCTATATATTTTTGTTTTCTATGATTCAACATATGCCTTAGTTGTATATTTGTAATTTCTTGCACTGATGCGCTATTGCAAAAGGGTAGTAAAAGGCGCTTTATTACGACATCTTTTGGAGAAGATAGTGTAAGTTTCACCTCATCTGACCTGGCTGGTGGTTTAGGTCCCTAGATAGATCGCGTCCTTAAGTGTGAACAGTTTCTGCGGAATGATGTTATTCACCTACATAAATCTCCGCACGCCAACCTATTTTTCCTCAATATCATTGAAGTGATACTTTTGTCCTGCTTGTATCAATTACTGATTGTTTTTATTCGAAACAAAAGCATAAACTAAGATATTCCATTTTAAAATTTCCCGAACATCTGGCATAGCTTAGAGTTAAGTGCGTCATTTGATACTTGGCGCCAGGGAAGTGGTTCATTTATAATTAAGCCATTCTCTCCCCTAAGACGGTTAATATGGTCATAACAACCAGTTGTTAATTTGAGAAGTTTCCTTTGTTTGGTGATTTTAAAATTTTTTTTGAGATCCTGGCCCTATTTTCGAAGAATTTCTTGTTCTCTTTTCTATCACCGTGTAGATATTTTGGCTGAAATTGATTCAGAATTCCATTCAATGAAATAATGAAGACAATTATAAATTACTTTAAATTATCGACAGTAAAGAAATATAAATCTCCCACTTATTTATCACTAAGTTACGCTCCTTTTAAACCAATCTTCACCACGGATAAGTTAAAACGGAAGTTTTCAAAAAGGCCTTGCTCTAACCTTTAAACCAATTCATAATTACGACCATGATTTGATTTACTTTAGGAAGATGTCAACGAGTCATCGAATTTAATTAGCACCTATATTGTAATCAATACCTTTGGATGATTACACAAATTTTGTGAGGTGTTTTATTGAGGTATCTCAAGGCTCTATTTCTTTTTATGCTGCCTTTTTCCGTTAAGAGGAAGCAGTTTCTTGAAGCGATGTTTCCTTGCTTTACAGTTAGAGAACCGTATGGTATCCACAAAGCCTCTGGTTACGTAATGACAATGAAAGGTTCAAATCGATTCGGGTGTCCACACAAGCTTTATCAACCCATATATAACATCCTAGCGTACCAAAGTTAGTTAGTGCTTTCTTACCAAAAATGAAGTATCGAGGAAATGTAGGTGATTGAGGAAGAGTATCACCCCGGTTACGGCAATCAGCGCAATTTTAAAAAAATTCATTAAGTAGTTCGCTGTGTTTACGTTTAATTGAGAAATTAACGAAGTGCGCACTCTTGATTCTGACTATTTGCTATTTCGAAAGGGAAAATAGCTACGAACTTAAGGTTGCACTTAAATGAAAAGTTAAATTAAGACAAACAGCCAAGAGACCCTTGATATCACCAAGTAGAAGATTTCCAGTCTAAGGCCTTCACTGCATGGTACAACGGACAATTCCGCAACTGTACCACTTTTTTTGCGCCTTGCTGAGAATTGGTTTTTTCTTCCTGTGGTCCGTTGAGTTGTATCAGCTAGATATCATTTAATTTGACGCGAGAACCGACGCTGTAGTAGACACAGTGAATGGAAGAAAGGATTCTAGGCATGCGTAAGTAAAATAAAACTAATTGTCACAGTTATCCACCGCTTTCCATGCTATCACTTTAATTAAAGAGCCCTTAGTCGTAGACTTTTATGGTTTGTTCTTCTTTTATTAATGTGTTTTGTTTTTCTTTTATCGTTGATGAGTCTTTTTGAATTATATTTCCGCTCGGGAATTTTCTTCGGGTGGAGGACTTGTGATGGACATTTTTTCCGCAAAATATGTAAACTAAGGGAAGTTTTTCAACAAGGAAATTTTTACCAGAGTGGAGCTTCCTCTAATCCTTTATCCTTTTTTAACACATCACTTGGCAAGTGTCTCTGACGAGTCATCATCACGATCTTATTTTCATATCGACACGTTTTCCGCTGTCGCAAGTTTCCTTGTTCGAAAACTGACAGGTGGAGTTATGGAATTGTCAAGGGAAAATTTTTTTGTTCATCTGCGGATCGTCTCTACGATGAAGTTTGCTAAGCCTGAAACTAAGTTGAAACTTGATGAAGTAGAAATTTATCGTACAACAGCAGTTTTGTTTTCGAAGGTGCATTCAAGATCCTGGGCTCCTGGTTCAGTCGCAAAAGTATAAAGTGAAGGGGCGCATAAAGTGCTCAATGGGTTTTCTGTAAACAAAGCAAAACACCAGTAAACACTCACGCAAACTTGAAGCGCTTACCGAATTAACGTTTTTTTTCCTACTATTATTTCTTGCTTCTCTTTTTTCCGCTTTTCATTTTATCTGATTAAGTTGTAGAACCAGTCGGAAGCAACCGATTCTCGCCGAAATCAAAAGAGAGATTACAGATCATGGTTAACGGTCAAAACGGTCAACGCAAGCATAAACGCAAACAAAACGACTACATAGAATAGAATGATAATCATTACAGCCTTTTGAATGTTAAAACTACAACCCGAGACACTTTCAATGAACAGGTTGATATCTGAGTATTGTTCTAATAGTTATGCTTGCCTCGTATAAGCGTCAATCAGTCTTGTCTCTACAGCACAAACTGGCAGCCGCGTAAAGAAATGCCTGGATTCTTTATTTTTTTATTATCATTTTTTTTCCATTGTGTGTGTGTGATAAAGAAAGAGTCAAAAAAAAAAATGAAAGTGATTGGCATAATTTGATCCGTGGTGCAGGTTTTTAAATTAGAGGCGGTAGACTACAAAGATAAGCAGATTTTATCCAATACAACCGTGATACAGGTGAACCTAAAACCATGTGCCTTGGAGTGCACATTTACAGGTATATAGATCGAATAGCTCCAGTGATTTATAAACCAGCGTTAGCTATTTCCGCCTTTGAGATTCTTTTGTTGATTGATCAAGTGTACCACCGACGGAGCCGCTTTTTATTGCTGCTGCTTCAAACCAGCCATTAAAAGCTCTGCCTTTGAAATTGTCATTAAATTAATTAACTATATCAAGAACGAAGTCGTTTATACAATATGCACTGAGTGCTCTTCTTCTAGGAACCTATCATTTTCTCCTTTTGTACTTTTGTATTCCTTTTGAAATAAAACCTTTTTTTGTCTTTAAACTTTAGATATATAGAGACATGAGGAGCATTTCTAAACTTCTGAAAACTAAGCCCTGAGATCTCTCCTCGATACCCAATTGCATTTTTGCATATGCTCTATTTTCTCGGAATTCTCCCAGACTAAACGTCAGAAGGGAGACATAGAATCCAATTTGCTAGTAAATATTTCTTTTTTTAAGCAGTGATCACGTTTTCCAAGAAATAGACAGTGGAGATATCTGACATGAAGAGGAAAGTAATAACCACTCTCGCTATTTCGATGTAAGCCCGAAACAAACAGACGCGGGATAAAATTGTTAAGTCGCAATGTTTGAAGGTACGAAGTTTCACTTAGCGATATTTTGTTCACTTTTCATCCAAGCGATACACAAAACTTATACTCAAGAAATTGTTATTTAACTTCGCTTCCATCATAAGTTATTTTCAAGATAATGGAACAAGATTTTACGAACAAAATTATTATAGACTAGGAGAAGAATAGACTTCATTGAAGAGAGAATAGAGAATTTATTTATTCACTTCAAATAATGTTACGAAGGTTTTTTTGCAAGAGCTGAATCATTTGCCGAGATCGAGCGAAATAATTTGACTTCTCGGTGACTAGCAGATCAACTCTCTTTACGATGGAAAGACATCGGTGAGCAACGAAGCTTAGAAAAGGTCTCGTTCTTTCGAAAACCAACTTAGTAAGTGGTGTTAATCTCAGTGATTTTTTCTACAATATACCATAATATACAACAAATAATTGAAGCGTGCGTTGAACCATTAGTTGAAATGTATTCACACTGAAAATTTTTTCTACAGTTTGTAATTTTTTCCCGAATCCGCCGTAAGAAAGCTGTCTGTTGAAAGCTTTCTCTTTTTTTTCCCCTAAATAGTGCCAGTATTAGTCAGTGAAAAACACCTTATGCTGCTTTAAGGTCCTCTATAGTAGTATGACGAAACTGTACCAAAACATTTCTTTTTTTGCTGCAGGCACCTCGCACGATCATGTGCAGGAGTTAGCCTTTGTACAGGTTATGTAATACTTAAATGCTGGTTTGGAAAAAAAATACACAAAAGAAAACATTAAAGGGAACGAATTAATTCACGATTAAGCTTAGTTGCTATGATATTTCATTTACCGTTTTCATTAGGACTTCAACCAAGTGTTGATACCATTTTTTTTTTAATTATTAGCATTTATTTTGCTAGCATGGGAATTTTTATGTTGCGTTTGTTAAGAATTTTTTGGATAATATTAGGTAATGTTGAACTTTATATAGCTATCGTTGTCTATGAGTTTGATATAGTCAAACCTGTGTTAGCGGTCACTCCCGGGGAATGGAGTTTAATAGCTCTACACAAGTTCCACAGAAGAGGGGTGTTGTATCTAAATGATTGCAGCATAGTTAACCATTTAATTTACAAAGAATCCCACAGAAATACTACGAACATTTATTTCGGGGATGAATATGTGGATGAAATAAATTTTACTTGGAAGATTATTCTTAATAGAGTTACAAAATTACAATAA